CGTCTTTGCTGGAACATTTACTGAGTCCGAAGCTCTGGGATCTCCCCTTCGCCCCAGCAGGCAGCTCTGCCTCCAGTGCAGGAGGAGGGTCCGGGTCATACATAAATGTCAAAAAACATCTCTGGTGAGCCAGGACTGAGCCGTTTGTCAGCTTTCCTCTCTGTTTTCCTGGAGTTCAGAGCAAGAACCTCAGCACTTCATGTACAGTGAATTGGTCTGGTCATCAGCTGTGCAGGATGAGACCCAGCTCCCCTCCATCCCAATGTTCCTCCTGGGGAGCATCAATGTCCCCAAGCCCCAGGGCAGCAGCCAGGGTGCACTGGCTGGTGTCACACCAGCCCCAGGGCTACACCAGATCTCCTTTATTCGTTTATTAGAAATTACCTGAGTCTTCATTCAAAAGCGAAAGACAAAACTTCTTGATAGCCACTACGGAGTTTCTGCTTATAAAGAAGAAAAGGTCATTTAAATACATAGCATCTTCTGCCAGGAGATCAGGGGCTGTGTTTTCTGCAGGCAGCACACAGACCTTTCTGACTCTGCTCACACATCTGTGTGTCCTGGAAGGGAAATTCTGTGCAGAAACCGCCTGTGTGAACATGGAGAAGTTCATTGAAATCCAGAAGTCTTGCATATTTGGCTATTAAATTATTTTTCATCCAAAACGCTGAGCACAAAAGCAGTGCTTTCTGCATCCTAAATCAGCATTTTCCCTAGGAAAATGGAGGGAAAAAAATGCGTGCGTGGTCATAAATGCTCCCCCATCCGCTGCACCTGTGTGCCAACAAACACGCCTGCACGCGCGGCTTAGTGCAAACTGCACTCCCACCTAAACACATAATAAAGATGCCAGAAAGAGGAAAAAAAATCCTAATTTAAACACCTTTGCTTTTTTTTCAAGGCATATTTTTGCTAGCTTGGTTTTCTTGTCAGGTTTTAACAAAGTCGTTTGCTGCTTTTCAATGTTATTTCGCTGCATAAATCATGCAGGTTTCCGCGTCCCTGGTGCGTGCAGGGAGAGGCAAGGCGGGTGCACAGGGCAGTGGGGACACCTCACTGGGTGCTCTGACACCTGGGGGAAGCCACCAGAGGGACACTGGTGTCCCTAAAGAGGCAACAATGTCCCCAAAGGGTGCACTGGTGTCCCTAAAGGGGCAACAATGTCCCCAAAGGGTGCACTGGTGTCCCTAAAGGGGCAACAATGTCCCCAAAAGGTGCACTGGTGTCCTCAAGCCCTGCGCCACGGGGGAGCAGGGGAGATTCCTGCATCTCTAGGGGATGCAAGTTTAGGCACAGCTGCTTCCAAAAGAGGAATACGCTGTGTGGAAAAAAAGCTTCCTAAGTTCAATTTTCCCCACTGAGAGCACAAAAATTTGCTGCCTCCCATGTCACGCACTCACGCAGATGAGCGCAGGCTGTAAAGCCCACCTGCAAATTGAGCGATGCAAAACCCCTCTCCCTAATTCCGTCTGGGTTTTACAAGCTGTCAGTCAGTTGGGTAGCGTCACTTTTATTTGGTTCTTTCAGATTGGTTTTCTTTTTAACGGGAAGAAAGCATTTATATTAATGGCATCGTTGAGCCTCGGCCCTGATGGCTGAAATGCAATCCCTGAATTTTCTATCAGGCATTCGGGGAGCTCTTCTCCACCTTCGGACCAGCACAAGCACCGGAAACTTTCAGCCCATGCTGCCTTGCAGAGCGAAGCACAAAGGCAAAGGGGAAAATTTGCATTTCTTCCTTTCTTAAATCCAGCCACTCACTGGGAATTCCCAGAGTGAGAACAACAACAGCGCCTGTTATCTGCTGGGAGGGAAATGATGAAAAAAAGATCTATAAAATACATGACAACGACCGCAGTTTCTGGGCAGTGGTTTTATAACAGCAGCATTATCCTAAAATCAACTGCATTTCTGTCTTTCTGTTTATATTCCCTTGTTTTTCTAAGAAATAAGAGCCTTTTAGAGTCTTTTTTAGTCTTCTATATGAAAATAACTTTTATACTTGAGCTGACAAAATGTTTTGATGAAAAACACTTACCCAGAGTTGGTGAGGGTGTTCCTAGATCACAGGGCAAGTGAAAAGAAACCACAGAATTCTTGAAAACACCAACTCTTGTCTTCTGTTTGGGTGAAGCTTTGTAATCTGCCTTTTAAAAATCCCATGATTTTTTAATTATTCCATAAATTTTAATAAGAATTGGCCTCATGTTGTACTTATGGGCTGGCAGCAACAGTTGTCCCATTATTTCTCCATTCTGGAGGAGACAAAGCAGCTCCAGGCTCTCTTTGCTGAGCCCAGCTCTGGGCTCAGACCCAAAAAAGGCAAATTTTTGGCTTGCAGGAGACACAGCTTCACCTGCCTGAAAAAAACAAACAGGAGCAGACACGAGCAAATTTGCACATTGTCACCCCTGGGCCTGGACTGCTGGGGTGTTTTTATACCAAAAGCCTTGTGATGCCATGCGGTGGGGCTCCTCCCTGCCCTCTGTCACCCCTGGCCCGGGTCTCCTAAAAAAAAAGAGCGATTTCCTCTGTCAAGTGCATTTTGCAGCACTAAGGATTGTATGTACCTGTTTAGCTTTGGGTGTTTTAACCCAAACGCCAGTAACAGCAAGCACCCAGAGAGCTGCGTATGCTGCAAGTGGTGCCCTGCAGCACGGTTGAGCTGCTCGGTTTCTTCTTCTCAGGTGTCACCCACATGTAACAGGAGGGGAAAAGCTGTAAAGATACTCAAAGAGTGCTGGTGGTTAACAAGGATTTTGCAAACCTAAATGTTTCTGCAAATATTGGCAATATCTGGTTGCTTCTGGAGATGCTGGTGTCTCATCTTCGCCAAGCGAAGGCCCAGCAAGTGGAGAGCACGGCTGCAAAAACAGCATGGGTGATTACAGCTAGAGCCTAGCGACAAGGACACGGGTGATGTGTCCTTCAGAAAAGGTGAGGGATAAAAAGCCTGGGCTTCCCAGGTGTCACCATCTGACATCTGGTGAGTCCCTGGGGCGACGTGTGCCATGTCGGGTGCTGGCAGCCTCCAGGGACAGCACAGATCTGCCCCAGGGTCCCCTGCAAAGCCCAGGACAGCTGTGCGCCAGTATCACCCGTGGGGCTGCATCACCCCCCCAGCGCTGCCTCCCTGCCCAGGTGCTGCTGGCCCCAGTTCACACATGGCCAAAGGCACTGGGTACACAGACAATCCCAGTACAAATATTCCCCCACTTCCCAGAGGGATGAGAGGCTCAGAGCCCCCATCCTTCAAAAAGTTTCCCCCTAATTGATTCCTAACTCAGAGAGCTCAGCAAGGGGGCTTCACGCTGCTCTGAGAAGCGTGGCTGCAGCCCATGCCCGCATCTCTCCTGTGTGCAAACACACACAATGGTCTGCACGTGGTCGGTCAAGCTTCATTCCTTCCTTAAGGTCTTTTTTTCTTTTCTTTTTGATTTCTCTTTGAAATATTCCAATATGTGACTTTTAGTGTTTCATGTGTGCGAATTTCTGTCCGAAGACAGCCCATGTCCAATTCTGCTGTTTTCTATTGCTTTATCAGCACAGATTTCTGCCTTACATATTTGTATATGCTGAAAAATAACCATGACCCATCCAAAATACCTTGACCATAATCTGAGGCTGTCAATGCAATACTGTTTAAGAATTGGCAGTACTGGCCAAGAATTGCCAGCCTCCAAAACTGCCATTTTTTGTTGCTGCTTATCAAAGCATTTTTACATCAGTGGGGTTGCTCCTGTATTTAAAGGGGAAAGTGCATTTCAACACTTTGTTGAGTCATGGCACCGAGTTTTGAGGGCTTTTCCTTTCAGATATTGTATTTACCTGTATTTATGCTTTTGATGTGAATTTAGCAAAAGATTGTTTAAAGTTTAGGTGACAAATTTATTTGTAATCTTGACATATTTGATCATCAGAGAGAAAGCGAGAATATAAATAAAAGACACTGGACATTCACATAATCTACAGTTAATTCAGTATTTTGTACAGATAACAATATACACATCGTCTTGCCTTTCCTCACAACCAGCTCACACTATATCTGCAGAAATACACATTGCCGGGGGAATGGCTTTTGGGAACTAAACTGACCACAACCCGCTGCCGAGATCTGCCCCCCCACGCCCCGAGAAGGTATTTGGCAACAATACATCAGGGTGATTTTTGGAGACACTTTGCAGTAAAACTGTTGCAAAGGAATTTGAAAGAAAAGCATAAAATTCACAACCCAGAGCCGCTTGTGTTCCCGGGTCAAGACAAAAATCACCTTTTGACCTCGTGATAAAAGTGTAGTTATTTGGTAATAAATACATCTATTCACGGTTTAATGCTTGTGTGGAAGAATAAAACTAGCAATCTACAAATTAAGAAGATGAGAAGCAGAATTAACATATGATTTTCGTTTTACAAAAGAAAAGGGTTGTGGGTAGGTGGTTGGCATATTAAAAAGCATTTCATTTTAGAAAAGTTAATGTAAATTCAAAATAAAATGAAACATACCGCATCGGTGCGCTTTTTAAAAAATCTGCTGGAAGAACAGAGTTTTCTACCATGGGTTTCTGAAGTGATTCACTATTAACATTTCTCCTATAGAAATATAGACATTGTCACACCTTTTACCGTGGATGAGGACTTTATTTTCTCTTTAAAAGGTTTCGGTGTGGATGGGCGGTGAAGCAAGTCCTTGCTTTGGAGAGTGCACTGACAACAGAAAGCAAAGTACCTTATATCAACTCTGTAAAGCACGAGTCTCGGTGGTCACTAAAGACACAACAAGCAGTTTTGGTTGGACACTCTGGATCGCTGCGATGCCACCGCCTTTGCCCACCGTCCTCTGCCAACGCCTGAGTCACCCTCCAAAAGTGCGTCTGCTCTCTCCATGTCGTGACACTTCCCTGTCCTGCTCTGCAGCCACGCTCTGTCTCTCCTTTATTTCCAAGAGCAGATGATGTTGAAGAACCTCAAGTCCTTTCTCTTCCCACTGCGCTGTGGTGGACCCTGTATCAAAACTGAGCGTGGTCGACTTCATCCAGCCAAGAGGCTGGGCTGGCAGGGAAATCTGGGTACCCCCCACTGCTCCCAGTGGAGAGGTCGGAGCTTGGTCCATTCCCAGCCAGGACCCTCATGGACGGGGGCACCCCTTGTCCGCTTTGTCCCATGATGCCCAAGCCGTTGTCTGGGTAAACCAAGCTGGAGATTAAAGGCTGGTGGCCTGGCAGTGCTTGCAAGGAAGCCGGTGACTGGGGTATCCCATAGGGGCTGTTGGATCGCAGGTCGTGGTACTGGTCCTGAGCTGGGATGCCGCTGTGATCCAGAGCGAAGCTCCCGTTGGTCCCAGCCTGTCTCCCCAGAGCAGGGGATGCTTCGTTGAGATTGCTGTAAATCCCATTGGAATGGCTCATCTCGGACATAGAGGGCTCATCTGAAAGGGAAACAGACTGGTTTTACTGGGAGAGCAATGGTCACGGCTGGCAGCGGTCACACAGGAACTCCCGCAGGCTCTGTGTATAAATAGATGACATGGATGGGAGCTGAGCAGAGTGCTTGCCACTTGTAATTCCTTATTATTCCCATCTTTGATGATGGATCTTCATGGAAGGCCATGGGATTATTATTTTTTTCCGAGTACAAACATCTAATACATTTTGAATTTTAAAAATATGCATGACAAGTACCTATTAAAACATAAGACTGAGATTTAAAAATAATCCTTTAAAGAGGAATGCGACTTCAATTACTTTCCACCTTTTTGTTCTGCATTTCTATTTGGCTTTGAGATGTATTTTGAATTTTGATTCATTTGAATTCATTTTGAATCATTTTTAGGAGCAACGTGAACACTCATTGATGCAAGAAAAAACTCTCCATTGCTCAGAAAAAAAATATTAAATCTCAGCAGTATTTGTCTGCTCAGGAACAGGCTAATGAAATGTATTTGTATGACTTAAAAACACTTCTGAAAAAATGAAAAACGTTTTTTAAGTTACCAGTAAAATTCTTCTGTATTCGTTAGGGGCTTTACGGTCAGCGAGAGCTGCTCTGTTGCCTGGGATACAAACCTGTTTGTGGCATCAAGCGATCAAGAATTGTTCAACATTTTTTAGTTATTATTTATAGTATATTCATATTTAATGGCGCTGGTGCACAGAGTGAATAAACAGACTTGAAAATCAAATCATTTTTAGGAACACGGGCGAGCAGCTAAGATGCAAAACTGCCTGTGTACAAACAGCCGCGCATTATAGACACCTGCCTGTGTAAATATGGACACAGTTTTCCATTTCAGCTTCTCTCCTGTATTCCTAAAACTGACACACACACAGAGGCACATGCTTTTTCACACTTTTTTCCCGAGTGATTTATACTTTTCCAGTGATTCTGGAGTCTATTTTTTTGTATTTCCAAGAGTCCCTTGAAAAGGCTGTGTAGGAGCAGTGGCTCTTAACACCGGCAGCGCCTGCCCGGGGAGCTCTCCCTGCTCCCCCTGCACCTTTTTGGAGGGGTCACGGCCCCCTCGGAGGGGGAGCGGAGTTTCCCCTGCAGCTCCTCAGCCCCTGCTGCTCCCCACTGCTGCGGCTCCGCCTTCCCCCAGCAGCCAGGACCGGGCAGTCGGGGCCGCACCGCGGTAAACCGCGCAGCTCTGCACTTCTCATTGTATTATGACTAAAAATTATTAACGTGGCAGCGAGGGGATGAAAGGAGCCTGGGCATGGACCGTTCTGGGCAAAGCCGCGGCTAGGAGAGGGGCTCCAGGGACCAACCTGTGAAAGAGACCTCGGCATCGCTGTCGGGCCCCTCCTCCTGGATGCTGTCCTTGTCGGACTTGGAGGTCCCCCGGGACCGCTTCATGTTCCTGAAGTACTGACCCCATCGCTGCCTCCCCGCGTCCTTCTTCAGCCTTTTCTCCTTGGCCCTGCGGTTCTGGAACCAGACCTGCAAGGAGGGGAGGCCGGGAAGCTCCCTCTCTGCGGGGCCGGCTCCTGTTCCGCC